ACACACACACACACACACACACACACACACACACACACACACACACAGAGACACGTACTCACAGTACTTTACACAGTACAGCAGAATCTTTCAATGATCCTGGTGTATGTGTGTGCCTCAGTGGGCGTTCGGTGTCACCATGTGGGAGGTCCTAACTCGAGGTCAGACTCCGTATCCCGGTGTAGAGAACTCAGAGATCTACGAGTATCTGATCAAAGGAGAACGACTGAAGAAACCTGCAGACTGTAGAGACAACATGTGAGTCTGAACACTGCATTCTCTCTGACGTCCATTGTGGTGCAAAAAAGCTATTTAATAGTACTGAGTGAGTCCTATAACACTGAAATAAGGAAACCTGAGAAAAGCACATTTGTCTTTAAAGTATTTATTCTCTGCGCAGAGAAGGCTTAATCATCCCACTGAGTGCCTGTGCAGTCAGTGGGAGGAAGAGCCCAGACTGCAGGATGTGTACAACGTTTAAAGGATCAGGGAATAGGGGGGGGGGATGAGTCCCCACTAAGATGTCTGTTTCTGCTTCTAACCCTAAACATTCCACAACATTTCGTGCACTAAACATTTTACGACTGATCCTAGTCTACACAAGTTCTGCACTCCCATTCGGTTACTTCCTTTGAAGGAAGCTATAGCAGACATCACACATCAAATATTGAATAAGGCACATAAGAGATATCACAGTCAAAGTATTTAGCACAAGGGAATTTTCAATCACACCACCAGGGGGCGACTCCTCCGGTTGTATAGAAGTCTATGAGAAAATGACTACTTCTCTCTTGATTTATTACATTAGTAAACATTGTAAACATGAGTTTATGGTCTCAATCTCTAGTTTCAAGTCTTCTTCAATACAGCATGATGTTCATTTAGTAACTTATGGTCCATTTAGAGTCACACAGACCACAAAGCAGGGGATGCTTTAGCGCAGGGCTACAGTGATTGACAGGTCTCTACGTCACTCCTCCTCAGTCCTAATATGGTCACTTCCTGTTCACTCGATAGATATTAATCTTTAAATTTATTTTCACCAAAACTTTATGGCTTTTCTTTAAAATTAAGATTTAATAATAAATTATATTCCAACTTTTTGACTTTATTCTTGTAACATTTGACTGCTGAGCAGATTGTTAAATACAAATAATTTCTTCATGAGTGGTAATAAATCAATATGTAATGAATATATAATGAATCCTGCGTGATGTTGACGTCTCTCTTCTTCTTCTGTGGTGCTTCCTGTCAGCTATGACGTCATGCACAGCTGTTGGAGTCCAGTCCCTAAATGTCGTCCTAGTTTCCAACATCTGGTTTCTCAGCTGGAGATGCTGTGTGGCCCCGCCCCCCCGCTGAGGGAGGCTCTGCTGTATGTCAACCTGGAGGAGAGGGGCGGGGCCTATGAGGAGGGGGGAGGGGGCTCTGAAGAGGGAGATGGGGCCTCTGAGGGCCCGAGCTGGAGCGTCCCGTGGCAGCTCCGGGTAGAGGACGAGGAGAAGGACTGGCTTATGGTGGGGTCAGAGGTCACGATGGCCATCGGAGGAGACTACAGGTACATCATGGGCCCCTGTGAGGAGGGGGGGGAGGGCCCTATGGTCAGAGACGACGACGACGACGTCGTCATTAATGTCTGACCAATCGCAGCACTTTTCCTCCCACTTGATTGGACCAGAGGGACACTCACTTTAAGCCTCGAGCAGCAACAGGCGGGTGGAGACACACAGTCAGTACTTCTGTCACACTGCTACTGTGTACTGATGGTATTCTGTGTACCGATAGTACTCTCTGTGTACTCATGGTACTCTGTGTATTGATGGTACTCTGTGTACTGGTAGTACCCTCAGTTAGTACTTACTGTGTACTGATGGTACCCTCTCTGTGTACTGATAGTACTCTGTTTCAGTTCCTAGTCGTTTCTCTTCAGTTCTGTTTTAAAGGGACAAACTAGCTTGGTAACTCGTTCTCAGACGTCTTTAAAGACGTCTCTTTGGAAGTTTGAAGACGTCTCTTTGCACGTTTGAAGACATATCTTTGTACTCTTTAACTGTCGCCCACAAACAGTTAAAGAACTCAAATGTATATTTTGTTAAATTTATTTTCTCATCTCTTTAGCTCTAATATTAATGTTTGTTTCTTTTGTGCAATATGAGTTGATCTTAAGGTGTAGTTTTATGATATAGATTAATATAGTCATTAAATACATAGAGACTACAGGGGCCCCTGTAGTCTCTCTCTGGCTCTGAACTCTTTTCTTTCACTGAAACACTACGTTAATAACATTACGTTAATAGCATCATTACGTTAATAATATCATTACGTTAATAATATCATTACGTTAATAACATTACGTTAATAGCATTACGTTAATAGCATTACATTAACATTCTGTTAATAACATTACGTTAATAACATTCTGTTAATAACATTACGTTAATAGCATTACGTT